CCAGGCTGGGGGCAGCACTGTCAATAGCCACCAAAGCTCAAGCAATTCCAAGGGTGACAATTCTTCTGCCTCCTAGGTGGTCAACCATCAGCAATGTGCTTCTGGCCCCAGAACACCGAGGGCCTCATCCAGGAGGGTCCTGATGCAGAGGACAACGCACCTGCTATGTCCTTAGCTGATGAAGATGTCACTGTGGTTCCTACATCTCTCCAGTCACCCTCTCATGTCAACCAACCCAAGGACCTCATTCGCTGCCTGCCACCTCACCTGTCCATGTACATCCTGGGTAAAGCTGCTGTGTGTTTCCAAGGGTGGTTTTCCCTAAGGGTCATGAAAGGTCTCTAGTGTGGACAGGGGTTAGCCAGTCTCTCCCTTTTATTCCTCAGGGCTTTTGGATCAAAAATCCCTCCATGCGTGTGCTGCTGTGAGCAGTTGCTGGGCTTTTCTGGCCAAAGAAGTCGAGAGGGAACATGTGTGTCAAAGCCAAGTACAGGAGAAGATCCTGTATTTGCAGGTACCGTGTCTGGGCTTCTGCCCTTCTTATGCACTTTAAAACGAGGGTGTTTTTCTGCTGCTGCCCACGCCATTGGATCATAGAATCACAGAATTCCAGGTTGGAAGGATCATCTGGTCCAACCTTTTGTGGCAAAAGCACTGTCTAGGTAAGATGGCCCAGCTCTTGTCCAGCTGAATCTTAAGTGTCCAGCATTGGGGACTCCATCACTTCCCTGGGAAGACTATTCCAGTGGCTGATTGTCCTTGTCATGAAAACTTTTCCTGTGGCGTCCAATTAGAATTTCCCCAGGAGTAACTTGTCCCCATTACCCCTTGTCTTTTCCATGTGACTCCTTGTAAAAAGAGAGTCTTCATCTTCTTTGTAGCTAGCCTTTAAATCCTGGAACATGGTGATAAGGTGTCCACTAAACCTTCTTTTCTCAGTTCTGAATAAACCCAGTTCTCTCTCAGCCTTTCGTCACATGGCAGCTTCCCAGAACTTGGATTATCATTGCAGCCCTTAGATCCTATACGGAGATGCTTTTACTAGAGCCTACCTCCCAGCTTCACCCTGTTCCCCCTCCCTCCATCTGCAGAGCTCAGCCAGGTTAGATGTTCATACTGTCACACAGAAGCACAATGGAATAGTTTTTCCTGACCTTCAGAGAGCAGGTGACTCTAAACATGGATCAAAACATTCTTGTAATCAAGACAGCACAGTTTGGTCCCAAATGCAAATATTGGACTTCAGGAGATAGTGGAAATTGGGCAGAGCTACAGTGGCTCCTGAGGGTAGCTCAGAAACAAGTTTATTGCTCTGCGTAGGAAGATGAACATGTTGGTGTCTTTGGGAGAAGTCAGAGCTGGCGTTTGGGATGCAGCAAAGCAGAACTTCTAGGAGAGGCTTGTCTTGGTTAGTAGAGCCCTGCCATGCATCAAGATAAGGGTAAAGGTGAACCCCCAAAGAGACAAAGTGAAGGATTTGTGAAGAGAGAACAGAAATCTCAGCTCTGTGCTAGCACTCCCAGGAGGCTTAATGGAAGGTTTCACACATTAAAAATGGATCTTAAATATTGATAGAGATGTTTTGAGAGCTTCTCATCTCAGTGGGTTTGGGTTTTGAATCCACTGAGTCCTGGCCGAAGATGAGATGAACTTTGAAATGTTGCAGCTTATTAAAACCTTAAGTCTAGAATTTGGGAAAAAAATAAAAAGCAATTCTTGTTCACAGGAATCTAAATTTTATATTGACAAAGCAGGGTCTGGTGTGACAGGACAAGGGGGGATGGTTTGAAACTAAGAGGGAGATTTAGACTAGAGAGGAGGAAGAAATTTTTGGTGCTGAGTGTGGTGAGCCCCTGGCCCAGGTTGCCCAGAGAGGTGGTCACTGTCCCATCCCTGGAACCATTCCAGGGGAGGCTGGCCGGGGCTCTGAGCAACCTGCTCTGGTTGGGGATGTCCCTGCTCCCTGCAGAGGGGTTGGACTGGATGATCTTTAAGGTCCCTTCCCACCCAAACCAGTCTGGGATTCTATAAGATGGTAGATGTGAACCAGGTCTCTTAATAAGAGGCTGGTGTGTGCAGCTCAGCTTCGCATTCAACTTCAGCAGCCTGTGGAGATGCTGAAGCAACAGCACCTGAGCAGCATCCTCGTGTCGTGGGCTCTGCAGTGACCGTGCTGCCTCTGCTGGTGTATTCCAGGGCTTGTGTCCTAGAGGAGCAGTGTCAAACTACGCTAAAACAGTGGATGTGACAATTCCGCAGTTAAATGAAGAGGGTGATGTCATCAAAGTGAAGGATGACAGTCAAAGTAGAACAAAGGTACGTTGGAAGTGGTTTGCCTCGATTCTGCACCAACCAGGAGGCTCCTGTGCTCTGGGTGTTCCTTACCAACACCTTCTGTCTCTGTTGGTGTCAGCACTTGAGTGTGGTCTGAGCTGCTATGTTTAATAATAGGGAATAATCACAGAATCAGATAATGCTGCATTCCTCCTTCTCCAAGTTACTTTTCCCCATTTTTCTTTCCATCAGGAGAAACACAATCTGCAGGCAGCCTACCATGATCTGAAAACTGGCACAGTCCAGCTGGAAGAGAGAAATGTCTTCTGCGGCTCCTACAACGTTCGTGTCCTCGCGGAGCAGTGAGTAGAGTGCCTGACTGGAGGGCCAGGCAGCACCCTCTGAAAACCTGTCCCGTTCCCTGAGGTCCTTCTGGGGGAATGTACAGCTGGAGAGGGTCTCTCAGCAGCAGTGTTAAGAAATCCTCCGTGTCAAACCCAGTTTTTTTATAAAGGTACCAAGATAACGTTATTTTTAAAGACATATGGGTGAGAAATCCATGTATATCATGAGGGATGTGGGACAAGGAGGAGCTCTCTCCCCTCTCTAGGCTCACCCTCCAGATACAAATGTGGGTTTGCAGAACCAGGGACCTTAGTTGTGGTGCCCTTCAAAGCACATAGACCATCAGGTGGCTCAAGGAGGACCACTAAGCATCAGAGGAATGCCTGTCACCGTTGCAGGGCTGTTGCACCTTGGCAGCTGGCTAAAGCTCTTCTTGGTCACTGTTTCCAGGCCAGACCAAAGCAGAGTAATCCATTACAGCGGTGGGAACTTGGTAGCCATTGGCTCTGCAGACCGAAAAGTGAGGCTTCTTGGCATATGGGGAATGAGAGAAGTGCCTCCTCTGCTCTCTGGCCACGCTGGGAGCATCAAAGCACTCTTCCTCAATGAGAAGAAAGGTTTCGTTCTCAGCGCGAGCTTCGATCTCAGCATCAGGTGAGCAGTGCTGGGATGCTGCCCTGGGAGCCCAGCCCTCTGGCAAATTGAGTTAAAATGAAACTTTATAGAATCATTAAGGTTGGAGAAGACCTCCAAGATTATCAAGTCCGACCATCAAACCAGTCTCTATGGAGTGGGTGGATGGAATTCTCCTTCCGTGGCTTTCATTAGAGTAATGAAGGACAGTGGCTAAGGGAACACATCCCTGCACACCTAGGACAGCTTCTCTTTCCCACTTTCACCCAGTCCTGAGTGATGAAATAGGCAGAAACAGTGATGCAAAGGTTCTCCTAAAGAGAACCTTACCTGGTAAAGCTCTACATTTTAAGGTGAATTGAAGGTAACCATGCCAAAAGTGAAGTCTAGCCCTGTGTTTCCAGATGGAAAGAGGCAAAAACCACAAAGTGTAGGTATAAAAATTTAATACCTGACTTGATTGTTCCAAATCCTTCAACACCTTAGTGGAATGACTCTGGATTTTAACTGGTGTCTATAGGAGAATGTTGATTTCCCATGAAGTAGGAAATAATGATTAAGATGAATCAGCCATCAATTAAATTAATCGCTCTATTCCCTTTGTAGGTGCTGGGATATACACGGTGGTGCTTGTGTGAAAATCTTTAATGGCCACTGTGGGACAGTCACCTGCTTGGATTTACACGAAGAGCAGTTTGTGTCAGGAGCCAGAGATGGGATGGTGAAAGGTGAGAGCCAAGGGCTGCCCAGAGACAGGCAGAACCTGTGACACTGGCAGTGTGGGGGTCTGGAGACTGGAGAGGGAGTTGCAGTGTCTCCTGGTTTCACTCCAGAACAGCCTCCTAAGCTGTGGACACGTGCACACACAAGGTCTCCGACTGTGTAGTTGAATAAATTCTCGATATTTCTGCTTTTATTCAGTTTTAATGGCTTTGTGGATGTAGGGCTGGATCAGCTCTTGGAAAAATGGTATCGACTTGTAGCTTTGCCAGAGATTTCCTTATTATTTATTTATAGAAGAAGGATGAAAAAGATGTGCTATGCTCTGGACTTGGCATTTAAAACTCCTGCCATGCAGTTCCACTTCTGGCCCCACGCATAGCTGCAGCTACGAGGCGTGACTGTCATTCCAACAGCGTGTTTTAATTCACGTTGGACTCGGCAAGGCTGATCCCTGGGGCATGTGCAGTGTTAGTATTTCTCCCTTCTGCCCCTGGCAGTGTGGGACCTGGCGAGTGGGAGATGCCTGAGGACTCTGAAGCACGGCGGTGCTGTGAGGGCAGTGAAAATGGATGGCACCCGTGTTGTCAGCGGGGGAGACCGAGGGCTGGTGAAAGTCTGGCGTGCAGATACGGGCACCCTGATCAAAGTAAGTTTCTTTTTAGTTGGATAATTTTATGATAAAAGGTCAAAAATCCTCTGCACTAGGTTATTAGAGCTTTTTGCTTTTGCCAAAGACTTTCATAAGGGAACAAAATCCCCTCCAAACAAACCCTAAAGCGGTCTAAAGTTCTAAGAGAAACTGCAGAAGCAAATAATAAAAAAACTGCTTTGCAAACAACCATCAGTTTTAGCCCAGAGTTTGCTTAGCTTAACCCCCACCACTACCTGTTTCTATGCAGATATATTCATCTCTGCTCCTGTAGAAACATTTAGAACCTGGGAAGAGGGTGTGAGGGCTTGACTAACAGCTCTCAGGGTTGGAGATATCATGGGTTAGCCCAAAATATGAAACTCATTCTCAGAACCAGTTTATGAATTGTAAAGACTGAGGCCAGAGTCTGTGAATTACCTCAGCAGGCATCCAGAGTTGGTACCAGTCCACATCAGAGAAGCATGAAGCTCTTTCTACCTCTGGAGAAGAGCTGCAAACCAAGGTGCATCTCAGATGCAGGACGTCCCAGCTCCAGCTGAGCTAACTGTGCAAGTGCCCCTTCCACCACAGCCAGGGCAGTTCACCCTCTTCTCTTCAGGGTGAACATTCCATAGATCACAAAGGTCTTGGTGCAGTAACATCTAGCACACATAATAAAGATGGAAAACGGGTGTTAATTCCATGCTAGTAGCTCCACATCAGCAACAAGACCAGAGTATTTCTTATAAGTGACTACAAAACTAACACAGTTATCCGTATTTATCTGTACTGGTGTGTTATAATAACACCCATTAAAATCACAGCTATGCAAGGCTGGGGTTGTGACTGCTCTGAGGTATCTTGGCATATTTACATCCAGATTGCTGACAATGTTGCACCTTTTTCTTTCCCTTTGCAGATATTAGAGGGGCACCAGGGCCCCATTAAGTGCTTGGCCTTTGATCAGTGGCACCTAGTCACGGGAAGCACCGATGGCTACGTCCTGGGATGGAGCATGTTGGGAGACCTCAAGAGATGCCTAATAGCTTTTCACCACCCTAGGTAGGAATTGGATGTGCTTCAAGTTGTATTCAGTCCACTAAATCTGTAAAGAAATGTCTCCCTTCTAGGAACAGAAAATGTCTTAACTGTCAGTTCTGGTATTTGAAATATCCTTGTTTTCAATAGTCTGCAGCTTATGATCAGTGTTGGGCACTACATGGTTGCAACCAGCATTTGTTCATTATAACATGTAAGAACCTCAAATGGAAATACACAGCTCCTTGTTCACAAACAGGGCTCAGTGAAGCCTGACAGTGCACAGTCCGGTTGCAAGGATCCAGATCTGTATGGTCAGGGCATCACCTGGTCAACAATAGAGCCTCTTTGGGCTGGAGGTGGCTGAGTTACATGCTGAACACTACCAACTGTATCTTATGCCATTTTCTAACACTTTTTGTATTAGAACTGTGAAAAGTGTAGCAGCATTGTTTTCACTTCCTTCTCTAGACATAAATTGAAATTTCAAATGCAGCAGATGGCCAGAACCATACCAGTATTGCTATGAGGATGCCCTGCACTGGACATTTGGTCCAATTCCAATGGTTTGTATTTGACATGGAGTGATTATGAAGGACTTCACTACAAGGCCTTTGGAATATGACTGTCCCCCTGTACTGGGCACTGGGAGGCCAGACCTTGAATAGTGCATTCGGGTTTGGGCCCCTCACTCCAATAAGGACCTTGAGGGGCTGGAGCGTGGCCAGAGAAGGGCAACGATGCTGGGGAAGGGTCTAGAGCCCAAGTGTGGTGAGAAGCAGCTGAGGGACTGGGTGGTGTTGAGTCTGGAGCAAAGAAGGCTCACGAGAGACCTCACTCTCAACAGTTCCCTGAAAGGAGGCTGAAGTGAGGTGGGTGTTGGTCTCTTCTCTCAAGGAACAAGAGGAAATATCCTTAGGTTGCACCAGGGGAGGTTTAGGTTTGATCTGAAAAAAAATTTCTTCCCCTTGAGGGTTTTAAAACCCTGTCCCAGGCTGCCCAGGGCAGTGATGGAGTCCCCATCCCTGGAGGCGTTTCAAAGCCATGGACATATGGTGCTGAGGGATGTGGTTTAGTGACCTGGCAGTGCTGGGTTAATGGTTGGACTCAATTTTAAGGATCTTTTCCAACCAAGATGATTCTGTCTCTCAGTTTGCTCCTCTGTGTAACCTGTAAGTGGAGGCAGACCTTTGCATCTCCTCCCAGAGAGAAGAGGCAGCTGATAGTGTGTCCTTTTGCAAGCACAGTGCATGTAGCAGCCCCTGTGTGGTGTTTTCAGGGAAGTTCTGTCTCTGGAGTTCCTCTATCTCAGAGTCCTCAGTGGCTGTGCCGATGGGAAGATTCGGATCTTTAACTTCCTGACTGGAACCTGCCTGAAAGTGCTGATGGCCAGCAGCAGAGGGGACCCCATATCTTCCTTCTACACTGCAGGAAACAGGTCGGTGACAACATGCTGCCATCAGTCTGAACCAAGTTAGGCTGATTACATTGTAATTTAAAGACCTGTGTGTTTTTCCTTTCACTGTCCTTCTCACAAGTAAGTTTTAAAGGGCTCTGCTGCCTAGTAACTGCTTTAATAATCTGTTTTTGCTAATGTGGCTGAGAAGAGATTTTCTTAGTCTATTCAGGAATGTACAACTTTTTGTTTCTATACGACTTAAGATATCGACCCAACTGTAAAGCTGAGTTCAGAAGCCAAATCTCTTAAGGGGTTGGAGAATAAATCCAAAGCATCCTTTGCCTGCTCCCTGACCTGCTGCTTCTTTCTAAAAGCCAGGAATGGATAATTCTTCCAGGATCACTCACTTCTTCACTTCCCAGATGAAGGGTGTTCCCAGCTTCTGTGTGAGCAGGAGCTAAAACACTGGTGTGTTACCAGTCCTGGTTTGGTCACAACTCCCAAACACAGCAATATATGGGCTGCTGTGAAGAACACCAACTCCATCCCAACTTGACCTATTGTAGACCCTTCCCATCTAGGTTTGAATGTGCCTAATAATACAGTATCTCCAGTTTCTTTTGGCATTGCCCTGATCTGGCTCAGGCCACTGTTGGTAAACTTCATCCAAATTATTTTAAAACTAATTTTGCCATAGAGCTGAATGAGAAGAGCCCCAGGGAGCTCATGTAGGGTACGAGTTAAAATGTGCAGCATGTGATTGATGACACTAACTGCTACTGCTTCCTTAAACGGGATGGTTATCTCAGATCCCTTTAACTCCCCTGGGTTTCCTATTACACAGAAGCAGGCACGGCCCCTTGGGGAGGAGCTGCTGTGTTGATGCTATCTGCTAACAGCTTTTCCTGCCCTTCCCCAGGATGGTGATCAACTCACCGACTAGTCTGCTGATGTTCCAGTTTGAGGATGTCAGGTGGGATTACACCCTAGATGCTGACCGAGAGGTGGTGGGGAAGAACAAATGGCACACGGGACCTCCAAGAAGAAGGCTTCACCTTCAGCGAGCACCCCAGGAGCTCAGCCAGCTGCAGTGCCATGCTCGGGAGAAACAAGGTGCTGACCAGCTCATGCTGTCCCACTGGACCTCCTGCAGGTCACCCAGAAGTTGTGGAACATCTCACAAGTGTTATGTACAGCCTCTGTGATACTCTAGCATCCTAAAATGAGTTAAGAAATCGTTCTGAGTACCCACCACCTCCACCTAAATCAATACAGACTCTCTGCTGTTTCAAAGGCTAGTGGATGTGCTGTTGCATCCCAATAGTTCTGTTATTTCCAGGCTTTTCTAAAGCCTGGGTACCTTTTTTGAGAAAATTTGGTATGAATTCAACCCATTTGTCAAGATGGGCACTGCCACTTTCTAACAGAGTAATAAAGAAATCAGTTATTCATATTCTTAGAGCTGGTGTGCACAGAAACCTGCTGCTGATTCAGTGCTTGAATTGTTTATTAGAAAATACTCCAGAAAGTCGTGGGACACCTGCATTCAGGATCTGCCACCACCAGGAAATGCAACTGCACTTCAACAGGAACCTTTAAATTGTAATGTGGCAATACCTAAAGGGGGGGTGGGCAAGAGGCTGGGGCCAGACTCTTGTCAGTGGTGGCCAGTGACAAGACAAGGAGCAATGGGCACAAACTGGAACCCAGGAGGTTCCACATGAGCAGGAGGAGAAACTTCTTTCCTGGGAAGACGATGGAGCTGGAGCAGGCTGCCCAGAGGGGTTGTGGAGTCTCCTTCTCTGGAGAGATTCCAAACCTACCAGGACATGATCCTGGGTGACTATCCTGAAGCAGGGGGGTTGGATGAGATGACCTCTTCCAAGCCCTGTTGTACTGTGATTCTTCTAATCAAATATCTTTGGGTTATTTCTAATACCTAGCCCTTTAGAAGCTGTGCTAAGAGGTGAAAAAGTAATAAAAAACTTGAAATCCCATCAGTTATGAAGATTTGATTTAATAAAAAAAAAATGAACACCAGCAAAGTTTAGGGATGACTTTTTCTTCTGTTGTCTAGCTCTCAGCCATGAACTGATGAAGCCAGCATCCAGCCAACAACAGCAGCACCTTCTCAAGGTTGAAAAGCCATGTCACATTCAGGCAGAGCAGCAGGAGAAGCTTCTCACTGCTGGCCCCACACAACCACCCTGTGCCTTTGCCTCGGGAAAGCCAGCAAGAGCCAGTTCCACAAGAACCTCACCAGACATGGGTAAGGGGCCTTCCTGGCCAGTAAGCCGTCAAACAAGGACCTCAGATAACTGGGAGTGGGTTAAACAACAGGTGAGGGTCTCCAGAAGCCAGACCTGTTGTGGATGGAAGTGTTGCAGTGGTACAACAGATCACTTGCAGAGCCTGTGACGGCTGTAAAAGCTGCTTTAGATCAATCCAATGAACAACTGCTCAGCTCTAGCTATAAAGCCTAGTTCTCTGGTATCTAGGGGGTTTGATTCTAATCTTGTTTTAATCTTTGATTTCTCTAACAGATGGAGAATTGTGCACAAGACTTATTCAAGTAGCTGGTATTTAATCAATAGCAGTAATTCAGAAAATTTTTAAAAAATATGCCAATTGTCTCAGCCAGGGCAACCTGAAATTGGAAAACGAGAGAGCACCAAGATCACAAATGTAGTCTGTGGCTGTGTGACTTTTGTCTCATGTTCCTTTTTCTCAGGTTTTATATTCAGAATCTGTTGGGATCTTAAAGACATACCCTGACCCCTTACTGGAGGAGAGTTGTGCCAATCAAAGTCCCTAACCCTGGACTCCTGGTGTTAGTAACAGATGCAGGGCCGTGTGTCCCTGCGGATTAACCAGCCCTGACTTCCATGCGTGAGGAACAAGCAGCAATTTTCACAATTTTCACTCATTTCTTTTGGTGTCCTCTGCCTTTCTGCACTGCAACTTCACATTTCCGGAGGGCAGAAGTCTCAGTGAGGCAGTCTGGAAACCAGGACTGCAGAGCAATGACACGTTGATGGCAGCACATGGCACAGTGACAAATGAGTCGCCATGGCATGGCCATGGGGCTGAGTGTCTCACACAGCCTGTGTCAGAATTCCCATCTGCTTCTCACTCCAGGGTACAATCACACCCCATCGAGGGGTCTGCCACAGCACAGGTTGCCCCACACATCCCCTGAGGCAGCAGAGACTCATAGAGTCATTTAGGTTGGAAAAGACCTCTAAGATCGAGTCCAGCCATCACCCAACACTACCATGACCATTAAACCATGTCCCAAGTGCCTCATCTACATGTTTCTGAACCCTTCCAGGGATGGGGGCTCCACCACATCC